TATTAAAAAATATTATCAATTAAAATTATTAAATTTTTTTTAAATGTATTTATTAAAATTATTAAAAAATATTATCAATTAAAATTATTAAAATTTTTTAAATACATTTATTAAAATGAATTATTTATTAAAATTAATTAGAATTAATTATTCATTAAAATTACTTAAAATTAATATTAATCAAAAATAATTAATTATTAATTAAAATTACTTAAATACATTTATTAACATTAATAATTCATTAAAATTATTTAAAATTAATATTAATTAATAATAATTAATTAATATTAATTTAACTATTTAATTAATATTAATTAACCTAATTAACTAATATTAATTAACATAATTAATTATTATTACTTAAAATTATTTAAATGATTTAAATACATTTATTAAAATTGTTTAAATAAATTTATTTAAAAAGGACTTATTAAGTATTTCATATAATTATAAAATAATTAATTTAATAATAATAATAATAATATATTTTACAAATATTTTATATTATATATATAACATTTCATTTATAGTATATTGTGTTTCACATTATAAAACTATTTGTAAATAATTTTTATGTAAAATACCATTTATAATACTTATTATATATTTTACTATAAATATTATTTATTTATATAAAAATATATTTATTTAACATTATATACATATTTATATAATTACAGTAATTTTTTCACTTTATAAAATGCAAAATAATTGCGTAGAATAACATTTAATATTTAATAAACCTTTCATAAATAAATTTATTTAATTTAAAAAAATAATTAAAGGAATTGAAAAAAAATTTGTGTAGCGTGATTCGAATTTGGATCCACCCGCATTGAACGCAGGTGACTTACCAACCGAGTCACTGGGCCGGTGGAGAAAATTTAAACTTAATTGCATAAAAGCTACGCATGAATTTTGAAGGCTTTTTTCTCCAAATTGACTGGCCATTCGACAGAATTACATTAAGGGTTGAACACCCTAAAGAAGTTCTACTATTACACCAAGTCACGGCCTGAAATGAATTTCCTTAGTCGTGGCCTCTCCTTGTTAGATCAACAAAGAAAAAAAAAATTTTTAGCTACTTTTTATTAAATAGTTACAATTAATACAAATATGTATATACATATGACAAAATCACTACATTAAGTGGTAATTAATTTTCATTAACTATCACTAAAGTATCGTATTGTTATCCAAAACAATCGTGTGTATAAAATTTCAGTAGAACTGAGTGCTTTAAAACGTGAGAAAAAAACCTTTTCAAGTTTTGAGACAAGTCGCCAAAAGGGTCGCTAAGTTGCTAAGAAGGAAACCAACGGGTTGTATCTGTAATTCTTTAAATAATTAGTTTCAGTCAATTAATTTTAATTAATTACAATTAAATTATCGTATTTTTACCTAAAACAATAGTGTATAGAAAATTTCAGCTCAAATGAGCGGTTTAAAATGTGGGGAAAAACCTTTTCAAGTTTTGACACAAGTTGCCAAAAGGGTAGCTAGGTCACTAAAAATGATGTCAACGTGGTTCTATTTGTAATTCTTTGAATAATTAGAATTAATCAATAAATTTTTATTCATTATAATTAAATTAGTGTATTGTCATCCAAAATAATCGTGTATATAAAATTTCAGCTCAATTGAGCGCTTTAAAATGTATTTTATTACGATTGAAAATTCCACAAAGACAAATATATAGAGCTTGAGCTAATAGTGTAGGAATTGAAAAATAGGCTTAGAGAGAAAGAGAAATCCTACACTAAAACTAAACATAAAATGTAGAAAAAGGACAAATTTTTATAGAACTAAGTAAATAAAATAAGTATCATTAGCAATATTGCTGTGATCTTAAGAATAAAAATCTATTCTTGTAAGTGAATCGGAATAGCAATGAACAAATAGTTCTAATTATCACATTACTTAAATATACTCTTTGAGTCTAAAAAGAAAATTAAAACAATTAAAAATTTAAAATAGCAAAATTAAGTATACAGGTATTAAGAAAAAGTTATATTAAATAATTTAAGTACAAGAAAACAAAATATAATTAAGAAGACTTTCCTTGCAGCAGTACCAGATATATTTGCACAAAACTACCATACAATCACAAAAGAGCTAGTATAAGTCAGAGATTAGGTGGTATAAATCTTCTGATTAAATCCCTTTTTAAAGGATTTGACCTAGATTCCTCTCTTCCCAATCAACTACCTGTCTTACTAACCCTTTGCTTAAATTAATTCATGGATAGAATTGAATATTGTTTAATTAGAACCAAACGTCACAAAGCTGGATCGAGTCTTCTGAACAAATTACCTATGATTTTAAGTGGACATTTTAAAGTAGATTTTTCAAAAGACAAATTAAAACCTTTAGTTGATTTTTTAAAATCAAAATTCAATTTAATTATGTCAAATGATCCAAATGAAGCACGAGGAAGTATGTAACAACGCTTGACGGAGTTTTTATTATAGATATTTAAATAAAATTTTGCATCTAAAGGATTTCTAACCTATTTCAGCTACCATAAACCTATTCTTTCCTTCTTGGAATACAATTAATTTCCAAATATGATTCTATATTTCGCACAAAAATATTACTTTATGAGTACAGACATATGAATAAATAATTTTATAGGACAATACTAATATCCCCTTGCTTTTTATTCACCAAACTAATCCCTGAAATAGCATTACAAAGTTTGGTGTTATCACTTCTATTGTGTGATCATAAGCACACACTTTTTTTTATGAACATAGAAAGGAACTCTTAATATGACCATTAATAACTTTTTACGACTTTTTGCTTACACACGTCCGGGGTCCCTGCAGCTAGGGGGTCCGTATCATTGATATTGGCCCCCTGATGAGAAGGAATGTTCCTCAGAATTTGAAATCCATTTATTTTGAGAAATTCACAAAAAATTTTGCTTGAACGATATAATTATAGTTGGTTTGTGGCCGCCCCCTTGTTTCGGCCGCTCGCATGCGCTGCACACCTGCTAGGATCGGCCCTGCATGGTTTAGTAACTGTTTGATTTGTCATGAAAGTGTAGTATTTAAAAAATACCAATAAACAGGAATTGCACACATTCAATGACACTTTTCCTCGAATATCTCTTTCAAGAGGTGATAAATGGGCTTTCTTGAATAATCTTTAAAAAGCGAAATAAAATGCTTTGTCAGTGGTAATTTCTTAACGATAACAAAGGCACCCTGTGAAATTAGTTATATTATTGTTAATTGTATGAAATCGTTTACTGATGCAAAAATTGTGAAGGAGTGATTCTTGAGGTATCCGACTACGCGCGTTCGGAACCGTGATTTTAAAAAAGCACATAAATAGATAATTTTCATGATATTTAGTGTCACTTAGATTAGAACACATGTATAAAATTGTTTTAAGGACATTTTGGCAAGAAAAAATGCTTCTAAAATAATATTTCGCATATATAAAGTAATGACTTCTCCAGAGAGTCTGAACTAGGATTTTTGAAAAAATCACATTATTTTCAGAGTTACCACCAATTGGAATAATTATCGGCGTTTTTTTCTTAAAATTTCTCCCCTCTATTGTAGTAAAATAATGTATGGATAAATCCCCTTCCAAGATATATATTTCAACAATTCTAGTTCAGCCTCTGTACAGAGTTCTGAGCTATAAACAGGCAAAATATTATTATAATAGAAGTATTTTTCATAAAAGGAGAATGTTTTGAAAATTGGTTATTCTATGTTCATTTTTTGTCAAAATATCGTACTTAAATAATTTTTTATTGTAATAATATTCTTAAAACAATTTTATATAAGTTTTCTAATTTAAGTGACACTAAATATCATAAATATTATCCATTTATACACTTTTGCAAAATCACGATTCTGAACGTAGTCGGATACCTTAAATGCTTCCAATTTAGAAATATTCAGTGACAAAAATAAAAATTAGAAAAATAATTAAAAAACCAAAATAGGATTTTTAATATTTTGATCAATTTTCTGCGCATTTTAAATTTTCTATGTTATCTTGGTTGCGGCCCGCTTGAAATAGCTAACATATGTGTGTGGCCTTGTAGAAAAAAGGTTGAGTACCCCTGAGGTAGGGGGGAAGACAATTCGGTGACGATGCTTGGTTTCGAGGAAGTGGAGGGGGGATCCTTCTAATGACTATATTCTTTTCAACTAGTGTCAAATTTAGTGATCGATGGGGAGAAAGATTACATACTTGCAGTGGGAACTGTAGGCTCTAACATTAAATGTCTCTACCATCAGGAGAATATGAACAGGTTTCAGGAATTGTGGAGAGAGTGAGAGAATATTAACGTCGCACTGTGTTCAGCTACACAAAGTCTTTCGGTGACGGACCTAGTAATTCTGAATCACAGGAACTGTGAAATAATACACTTTCAGAAAATACACATTGGCTCATTTATCTTACTTCCAAGTATCGTTGAAGGTTACTGCTAAAAAAATCTCAAGTTAATGTTTCAGTTTTTACTTGGAAAAAATCTTTCTATCGGATTAAAACATGATTGAGAAGAGCATATTTCCTTTCAAGTAAAAATAAGAGTCATTAAATCTAGAGTTATTCCTTAACTGATAATTTTATAATACAATTTTACAGACATCTGATTTCGATAAAAGTGGTTTAAGGTACTATTTGTTCAAGGAAAATTTTATTCAAAAATTTTGCAATAAATTGCTAACATGTGTAATATGAAAAAAAAAATGAAGTCAATTCCTACTTAGGTCAACAAAGACAAATGTTATTTTATATAGTTACTTTTAATTTAATAGTTACAATTAATATAGATATTTATATACATATGACAGAATCACAATATTAAGTGACAAAATAGAAAGCGATTTCCCTTACCATTTTCCTTTCTAAATATGGCGTTGAACTATTTTTTGTTTGTTTGTTACTATTTTTCCTTTATTAAATTTGTTTACTTTTTCTAACAAAATAGTTTTATGAAAAAGAAATCACATTCTCAGAAATTAGGTCATCCCAGGTGGGATTCAAACCCACGAACTTCGAGTTAGAAATCCAACACGCTATCCATTGCGTTACAGGGACACAACGAACGATTTTCCTTTCTATATATGCTGTTCGACTATTATTTTTGTTTGTTACTGTTTATTCATTTTTTAATTTAATTAATGAATCAATATTTGAAAAAATTGTATTAACATCAAGTGTCATCCACTACAAGTTTAAAAAATGTATTTGAACTTGAATGGATGAATAGAAAGTATATTTTATTAAAACGATTGAAAATTTGAACAGGATATATATAAATAAATAAATAAATAAATAGGGAGAGAGTGAAATATAATAGAAGGAATTAAAAAAAGATTGAAACGGCTTTTACATGACCTTATATATAATAATTTCAGAAGAAATGAATTCCTGGTTTTAAGGCAACACAGTACACTTTAAAAAAATTGGAGACAGTAATAGTAGAAGTAATTTATGTTTTATTTTCAGATTATATTATTTAATTGATTGTGAAAATAAAAAAAAAATTAGTTTGTTTTTCTGTTATTTTACAATTTTAAACACTTTTGAAGTTTTTCTTTAATTTTTTAAATTACTCAATTTTAAAAAAATTTTTAGTGTTAAGTGATTTATGTTTTTTTAGATTATCGGGAAGAAAAGTCAGTATGGAATTGTATGTGTGAAAATCTGTTTCCTTGTTGAATTTTAATAATTATTTTTGTAGATAAACATAGAAAAAACTCAAAATTTTAAAAAATATTAGCTTAAATGTTTTTTTAAAAATAACTACAGCTCTCAGATATAAAGAGATCTATAGAGCTCTTAGATATTTTTACAGAACATGTATATAAGTATGTATAAAGAATTTTTACTCTCTAGCTTGAACAGAAAAAGGAATAGAAAACACAGACATCATCAAAATTAAAAGTCTAAAAAAACGCATTTAAAATTTGTAAAGGCATACAAGAAAAACTAATAATACCTGAAAAGCTCTAATTTTTTTATACGTTATTTTCCAACTTATGTTATACTTTAAACACTTCTTTAATTAAATATGACTGAAAATATTTTATTAGCTCAAAATATTTTTTTCATAATATTGTTAACCTTAACATAACACTTTCATAAAAGGTTTTTGAAATACAAAACATTTATACATAAAATGATACTGATACAGCTAAAGTTAGAAATCATCAGGTTTGTACTTATCATCTAATTTTTTCTCAGTTTTAAATCGGGACAACTTAGCAAGTTAGATTTTATTTTTGTCTCGTGACTTTAAAATACTTACTGTAGTAATATAATGTAGTTTGGTACATCATGGAAATATTCAGTTTTGCCTGCAATACGTGTATTCAGAACACATATATTCTGAATTATCATTATAACGTTTAGTAAATATATATATATCAAATGTTATGTATATCATTTTCTGTAGTATTCCATTTCTTCCATTGTTTCTCATAGCAACCTGAGAACGTTTTGGTAGTGGCATTTTTTCATCAAGAAAAAAATTAATGAAAGCAAAGTAAAAAGTCTCTAAGTTATAAAAACTATGTGTGTAAACAAATATTGAGACTTGAAATCAATCTTAGTTAAGTAACTATGAGAGCTCAAAAAACTCAAAACATAAACTAACAGAAATGATTTCAGCAGTGAAAATTTAATTTAATTATAATTTCTCTGAAAGAATTGATTACGTTCAAAAATATTTTTAATTAATTCGATTTTTAAGAATTGAAAAATGCTTCAAAATGAAACCAAAACTAAAACCCAAGCTGAGAAAACTTCAAATATCTTAAAAACTAATTGGTTATCTGATCCAAAATTCGGGAGCAAGCTTCCCAATTATATGGGCCACAAAGAAATGACGAAAAACTTTTTTTCTATATTTTTGTCATTCTTAAAGTAAGCCATTCAGTTTACATTTTTTCCTTCTATTGTTTCAAGTTGATTTCACTAAATATTGAAATTATCTTATTTGAATATCATACTCTAACTCCTTTAACATAGAAGTAGGAGTATGTTTAAATGAACAATACACATTTGAGTTCATATCAACAAAATTTTTTCTTCATGTAATGTATTCCATATTTAGCCTCTTATACATTAACTTTGAATAAAACTTTGAACAAATATTTGTATAATATTTATAAAACGTAAAAATTCCACGAGATATGTACGTTTTATAACAGGAGAGTTCTATTAATTTTTTCAGTCATTTTTTAATATAAAAAAGGGCTTTTAGTTTGCAATTTTTCTTTTTACATTAAATGAAGAAGGTGTGTATGTATAGTCCTTTTTCAAAATTTGTCTCTGAAAGATTTTAAAATTGGTTATCTTTAAAATATATTTAGGTAAAAATAAACAAGTAATTAAAAAAAAAATTTTTAAGTCAATTCCTACTAGATCAACAAAGAAAAATTTTATTTTAGCTACTTTTTTATTAAATTGTTTTAATTAATATAAATATGTATATACATAGGACAGAATCACAACATTAAGTGGTAATTAATTTTTATTAATTATCATTAAAGCATCGTATTGTCATCCAAAACAATCGTGTATGTAAATTTCAGTTCAACTGAATGCTTTGAAACGTGAGAAAAAAACCTTTTCAAGTTTTGACACAAGTCGCCAAAAGTGTCGCTAAGTCACCAAAAATGATGTCAACGTGGTTCTATTTATAATTCTTTAAATAATTAGTTCAGGGCCGATCCTAGCAGGTGTGCAGCGCGTGGACCGCACGAAGGCGGCCAAAATTAGGGGTGGCCTCATATAGTTCTATCAATCAAGCAAAATTTTGTGCAATTTCTCAAAACAAATCTTATGATTTCAATAAGTATGCTGAATTTTAAATAGTTATTGAAAAATCAAAATAAGTCTCGATTTCCCCATAGCATAACATAGTTTAAGAAAAACAGAATGTTAATGCATAGTGTATTGGCACACACAAATTATCCATTAATGTCTACTTTTTACGTCCATCCTTTATTTGATAGCTAAGTTGTGATGTTCCTCCCTTTGGAAGTACATCTCTCGAAGTATCAGCGTGAGCTAGAGGTGTAGGATTAGCGAAAGAACTAGGATCAAACATTATCTTAATATGACTTTATTAAGATATTCAACTTAAACCTTTAACAAATTCAATTATAATAATTAATATGAGAGAATCTACGATGATGCAATACGCAGCACACAATATATATATATATATATATATATATATATATATATATAATAAGACCTAATCCAATTCAGACCAATCTCAATAAGCGAACCGCCTAGTCCTCGATTCTAATATTAAGTAATCAATCCTACCTTATTATATCTTGTAATAGCACTTGTCTTTATCTGCAGTGAGATGCAGCTTTACGGCTACCTTCCCGTCGAGCACCAATATATGTATCCACGTCACACAGAACGTATTCAATCTTGAAACATGAACTGTAATAATCATCAACTGCCACAACGCACATCAATTGTCTAACATTCCTTTACATTGCCATCGCGCTTACTCTAAGATCCGATATTTAAAGTCCGTTTATTTGCATCTTTATTTCACATCTCATTTCTTGAATTTGGTTGGAAAAGAGTTGCCATTAATTCTGGCCCAAAGAACCCAAATGACTTTTTAAAGAAAAGACGTGTGAGCCGTGACACCTGAGCATAGCGGCTATACCGCAATAGAAAAAATATTTTTTTATTATTATTATCAGAGACACTTGCAACGCACTGGGGATTGATATTTAACAAAAGCGTCTCAAAATTGTCTTTTGCGAAAGCTGCTTTACGAAAATATTTGATATGGTTAATATTACCCAAGAGACATAGAAGTGTTTAAATTCAATATGCATTTGGGAAAAATAAAAGTTTTCACTTAATAATAGCCTTACAATTTAGCAAAAACCAAATAGAGGAAAGAAGTGATTGTTTTACTTATGGCTTTACAACACTCATTAACAGCACCCATTTTCCTTTTTAGTAAAAATATTATACTTCCATTAAAAAAGGTAGTTTTTTGTAATTATATTTAGTATAAAAATATTTGAGAAAAAATCTTGCAGCTCTCATTTTGATTAAATAATTTTCATTACAAAGCCTGTTTGAAAAATACTTCAATATTCACATAGTATTGTTAATGTTAGGGAAGTTTACCGAAGTTCTACATCTAATTTTATATTCTAGGTACTTCAGAACTATATTTTAAAAAAAATGTGGGGTGTTATGCGTTTTTATAAAGGATCCCAAAATGTAACAAGATGCTATGTAATTAAATAGGCGAATCAAAAAATTCACAATATAGCACTAAAAACAATAATAAAAGAAAAAATATTAAAAGCTAATCATGATCTACAGTACAATATGTTTAACGCGAAAACTCTTAAGGTGAAATATCGGATAACACGAAATAATACAATGGTCTTGACAAACTGCTATGTATTTTCATGCATTTTTTTCATCTTATCACGAAAAGATTTCCCTTCCAGGAATGAACATAATACGGAAAATACTAGAAATTTCAGAAGGGTGTTAAATGAAAGAGATGGTTTCGCATTAGTTTTCTGTGTTATTGGATTGTCCTATTATATCAACGGAAGAATTCGTTTCAGTACATGATGATAATGTGTGTGCAGCCCCAATCATGGCAGGCAAAGACATTTAGGAGTGTGTTCAAAGTTCAAAAAGTATCATTGATACAGATTCCGACGATGAAATGCCTCTCCTGTTCTCAAGTCATCCGAAATGAAAAATGTATGAGCATTTACTTATTCAATTCACCAATGGAATGTGCATCTAACAAAATGGACGACATCACACAATTTTTAGATAATTTGATAGTATAAAAGACAATGCAAAAAATTATCAGATTATTTTCCAAAAACTCAGTAAATATTTCGTTTTACAAAAAACTTGACAGTTTTGTTGTATTAAATTTCATTAAGTTCTTGTGAATTTTTTTTCCATAGATTTTAATTAAATACATGCATATATGCATATCTATGCAAACAAGTGTACTTTAATAAGCCTAGTTTTGTTGAATATACGTTTTTTTTTGCAATATCCTTTAACACGAA